CACCCAGGAGGGCTTCCGAGGGGAGGGGAGGTGGTTACCGTATGGGAGGAAAAAGACAAGGTCAAGTGAGGCGAAACAGGCAACATGCTTGGAATGAAAGAGCTCACCAGAATGTTATAGCCAAAAGAACTTGAAAATAGGCTGGGTGCGGTGGCTCATGCCTATAATCCCAGCACTTTAGGAGTCCAAGGTGGGCAGATCACTTGAGGTCAGGAGTTCGACACCAGCCTGGGCAACATGGTGAAACCCCATCCCTATTAAAAATACAAAAACAAACAAAAAAAATAGCTGGGCAAGGTGGCGCATGCCCGTAATCCCAGCTACTCTGGAGGCTGAGGCAGGAGAATCACTTGAACCCAGGAGGCAGAGGTTGCAGTGAGCCGAGATCGCCACTGCACTCCAACCTGGGTGACAAGAGCGAGACTCCACCTCAAAAAAAAAAAAAAAAGAACTTGAAAATGGAAGAATGGAAGATGGTTCAAGATCCTATGGCCAATTTGGGTGTCTTCAAAAGGTTCCAGGAACCTAAAATACGTACAGGATAAGTCTTTCTTAGTATTTTCATCCAGACTACCAAATCTCTCATTAGCCCCGGTTTTTCTTTAGTTCAAGACTTACATTGCCAAATGCCTATTTGGATACCTCCTCGCAAGCACCCCACTGACCCTCTCAATACTATAATCCAGTTAATCTGAAACTGAACTCACATCTCTGTTTTTTAATTTAAAAATAATTTTTTTGATAGGGTCTCATCCCGTCACCCAGGCTGGAATGCAGTGGTGCAATCACAGCTCACCAAAGCCTTGATGTTTCAGGATCAAGTGATCCTCCCACCTTTGCCTCCCAAGTAGCTAGAACCACAGGTGTACACCACCACCCCGGCTAATTTTTTTTATTTGTAGAGATGAAATCTCGCTGTGTTTTCCAGGCTGGTCTCAAACTCCTGTGCTTGAGTGATCCTCCCACCTCAGCCTCCCAAAGTGCTGGGATTACAGGTATGAGCCACCATACCCCGCCATTTTGTTTGTTTGTTTTTTGAGAGACAGGGTCTCACTCTGTTGCCTGGGCTAGAGTGCAGTGGTGTGATCATAGGTCACTGCAGTCTTGAACTCCTAGGCTTAAGTGATCCTCCCACCTCAGCCTCCCAAAGTGCTGGGATTACAGGTATGAGCCACCATACCCCGCCATTTTGTTTGTTTGTTTTTTGAGAGACAGGGTCTCACTCTGTTGCCTGGGCTAGAGTGCAGTGGTGTGATCATAGGTCACTGCAGTCTTGAACTCCTAGGCTTAAGTGATCCTCCCACCTCAGCTTCCTGAGTAGCTGGGACTACAGGCACATGCTACCACATCTGGCTAATTTTTTTTTTTCTTTTGTCAGGCACGGTGGCTCATGCCTGTAATCCCAGCACTTTGGGAGGCCGAGGTGGGCAGATCACCTGAGGTCAGGAGTTTGAGACCAGCCTGCCAACATGTACTAAACATCTACTAAAAATACAAAAATTACCCAGTCACAGTGGCACATGCCTGTAATCCCAGCTACTCAGAAGGCTGAGGCACGAGAATCGCTTGAACCTGGGAGGTGGAGGTTGCAGTGAAGTGCCACTGCACTCCAGCCTGGGCGACAGAGTGAGACACTGTCTCAAAAAAAAAAAAAAAAAAAAATCTGTAGAGATGGGCACTCGGGGGAGGGGTCTCCCTATGTTACCAAGCCTGGTCTCCAACTCCTGACCTCAAGCGATCCTCCCGCCTGGGCCTCCCAAAGTGTTGAGATCACAGGTTTGAGCCACTGAGCCACTGAGCCACCGAGCCACTGCACCCCATGCATCTTTTCTTTCTTTGGTCCCCTCTTCTGTCTTTCCTATTTATCAGCTAATTCATTCCTTAAAACCATCTGTGACCCTTTCCCCTTGTTCTCTTCACTTATTTCCCAATTCTAGAGTCTCTCCCTTCACCAACCCTTATCTCCATTCCCATCACTGTCATCACGGCCTTTCAGGTTTTCTTTTTTTTCTTGAGATGGAGTCTCACTCTCGCCCAGGCTGGAGTGCAGTGGTGCGATCTCCACTCACTGCAAGCTCTGCCTCCCGGGTTCATACCATTCTCCTGCCTCAGCCTCCCGAGTAGCTGGGACTACAGGTGCCCGCCATCACGCTTGGCTAATTTTTTTTTTTTTTTTTTTTAGTAGAGACGGGGTTTCGCCGTGTTAGTCAAGATGGAGGTTTTCTTTTTTCTAGGACTGGTGCAAAGGTCTTCTACTGATCCCCCAACTCAGAGCACTATCTTCCCTGCATCTACCCTGCCTGGCTCTGAGCGTCATTCCCTGTCTTCAGCAGGTTCCACCAGCTATCAAAATTCAACTATTTGGTTTGATTTTCAAAGCTCTGTCTGCCCTCTGCCTTTTTTGGGGGAAGGCAGGGGGACCTAGAGGCTTTTATGTCTGACTGTGCCAATGGGCCCTTGCCCTCTGCTTGGCTTTGGTGGTTCATCGTCCACCCCTGCTGTCCCTTATGCTCCAGGCTAAAGGAGATATTTGCCCTGTGTTTGAATACCCAATGGACCTTCTCATTTGTGACTGCTTGTATTGCTTCCTTTTCCCCAGCCTGATTCAAATCTTATCCATTCTTCAAGGCTCACCTCAGATGCACATCTTCTTATGAGGTCTCTAATCCCCTAGCAACGCGAGACGGTTCCTTAGAACTCCCACAGCATCGAGAAATTCTCATAGCACACATTGCATTCAACCATCATGATGATGATGATGATTCTTTTAAAATTTTTGTATGACAGTGTGAGTAATATCTATTAATCACTGAGCATTTACTAGCTGAATATCTTGGGCACATTATACAATTTCTGCATGCTTCTAGTTTCATCGGTAAAACAGTGGTAATAAGAGCTCCTAGCTCAGAGGATTGTTGTGAGGATTCATTTAGTTAATACAAACAGAGCAGCAGAATCAGGCCTGACACATAGTGACTGATTAGTTGTTACTAATATTAGCTACAGTTGTTACTATGAGTGCAGGGTAGCACTTTACATTGATTGCCTCAATGAGCCCTCTGACCTCATGAACTAGGTTACTATTATTATACTCTTTTTAAAAAATTGTAGTAAACTACACATAACATAAACCATCTTAGCAGTTTTTAAAAATTTATTTTGAGACAGTCTCTGTCGCCCAGACAGGAGAGCAGTAGCGCAATCTCGGCTCACTACAACCTCTGCCTCCTGGGTTCAAGTGATTCTCATGCCTCAGCCTTCTGAGTAGCTGAGATTACAGGTGCACACCACCGGGCCTAGCTAACTTTTGTATTTTTAGTAGAGATGGGGTTTCAACATGTTGGCCAGGCTGGTCTGGAACTCTCAGCTTCACGTGATCCACCCGCCTCGGCCTCCCAAAGTGCTCGGATTACAGGCATGTGCCACTGCGCCCAGTCCATCTTAATAATGTTTAACTATATAGCTCAGTAGGGTTAAGTACATTCATACTGTTGTACAACCAGTCTCTAGAACTCTTCATCTTGCAAACTGAACCTTTACACTCCTTAAATAACTCATTTCCTCCTCCCCTCAAGCCCTGGAAAGCACTATTCTACTTTCTATGAATTTGTATTATTTTAGTCTTTACAGACTGAGAAAACCAAGGTTCTGAGAGTAATTTTTTTTTTGAGACGGAATACGGAATCTCACTCTGTCGTCCAGGCTGGAGTACAGTGGCACAATCTTGCCTCACTGCAACCTCCACCTCCTGGGTTCAAGCAATTCTCCTGTCTCAGTCTCCTGAGTAGCTGGGATTACAGGCCCACGCCACCATGCCCAGTTAATTTTTCTATTTTTAGTAGATACAGGTTTCACCATGTTGGTCAGGCTTGTCTCGAACTCCTGACTTCATGATCCGCCCACCTCGGCCTCCCAAAGTGCTAAGATTACAGGTGTGAGTCAAATAATTTGTTTTTAGAGAAAGAACCTGGATTTGAACCCAGAGCCCAGGTCATGCTTTGAGCCACTTTGCAATATGTTCACCTCACAGAACATGTGTGATGTGTTTTCCCTGCCCCATAATAGTGATGGCCATGGTATGCCAAGGCCCTCCTCTGTACCATTCTCACATTTAGTCCATGCAGCAGCCCTGCAGTCGTTGTGAGGGGTGATGTCCTATTTCCCAGCTCAGTAGCTGGTATAGAATCGGGTTCAGTGAGTATGGGTCTGTTTGACGTCTTTAAGTAGGTGTCTTTAAATAATACTAAATAAGTTTGTATTGCATTTTTAATGCAATTGTCTATATTTAATGCAATTGTCTATATATTAATGCAATTGTCTATATACTTGGAAAATATTGATTCTTTTTGGAGAAAACCAGTTGAAATGTATGAGGTCATAAAGAGCTTCCCAATCATCTCTACTTCCCCCTCCTCTGCAGAGTCAATCTGCTCTCCTCACCCTAGGCCAGTCCCCAGGCCGTCCCCCCATCTTTACCTCATCACTAGCATTGCAACTCACAGCCAAAGGCAGAGAAAAACAGGCAGACAGGCAAGGGGACTAGGAGATTCTCCGTGCTCTGCTTCCTCCCCCTGCTGCTCCACCCCCACACTATTCCCTCTAGCCAAAACCAGTCCTGACCAGCCTGGAACATGCTCTGGCCTTTCACGCCTCCGTGCCTTCGCACATGCTGTTCTTGAAGACTGGAATGCTTTCCCTCCCACCTTCTCCACCTCCAAACTCCTACAGTCTTACCAGCTCAGATGTCACCTCCTCTGTGAAGCCTCCCCGCCCCGCTCCCCGCCAGCTAGGAATCCACCCCCTCCTGGGTACAGACAGCACACCCCTTATTATAGCACTTGGACTGCAATGGCTGTTTGCAAGTCAGTGTGTCCCCCATGTCCCCAACTCCTTGTGCAGTGATGAGCCTTTATGCAGCCCAGGTCACTTTGATTTTCTGAGGTGCCCATCTGTCTGAAAATGAAGAGACGACAACACAGGATGACACACATGAAGGCAGGTTTTAAAATGTTTAACAAATTAATGTTAAATACTATGACAATTGTGCTGCTCACAAGATAATTATAAAATTTATTAAAATATAAGAACTTAGAGTGCTCCACAGGCACAGTGGCCTGGTAATAGAGTACAGGTTTAAGGATATACAAGGAGGGTCTTTGATCCCATCAGCCAGTGGAGCCGACATAATGTATAACCTTACTTAGAGATAAGGTCGAAAGCCTAAATTGGAGACCCTGGCCAAATGGCTCTTCTGGCCTCTTTCCCAGTGATGACAGGCTGTCCTGCTGCCTCTGCACATAGTAGGTACTCATTGTTTGCTGAATCATGGGAACGAATACAGCTTTCCAATTTGGTTACCGAAAACCCACATACAGTAAGTATTCCCAAGAAACACCGCAGTCTAGAACAATGGGGCAGGAAGCCACCTCCTCCTCCAATGACCCCAACCCTGAGTCCAGCTGAAGGCTGCAACAGGAAGCCCCTCAGCCACTGTCCTTCCACTCCCTCTTCCCCACTGCCCCCAGGGGCTCCAGATGCAGTCATGCTTTCCATCCGCTCCCAGCCTCTCTTCTCTTTCCAACCTCTAGAGGGTCCCAGGTGAAGAAAGAAAAAAGCACTTACAGAAGGAGGCAGGCAGCCAAGCTGAGCCCAGAGAGCCGTCCTGGGCGCCACCCCGCCCCCGTCCCGCAGGCCTGAGGAATAAAAGAAACAGCAAGAAGACAAAGAAGGGCTTAAAGCACTGGGGCAAAGGGGTGGGGGGAAGGCCTAAGGAAGTTTACAAAGCAATCTGTCAGAGAAGGGATGAAAAGGGAGCCCCGCTGGGCTGAGGGGCTCAAGCCCTCAGCTCACCTTAGGCCCAGTTAGAAACCTGCAATTACTTCAGCTAGTCAGAAAGACTCCCCTCCTCCTCGCTCCGAGAAGTGTGATTATTAACCTCTGAACCAGAAGTTTCCCTGAGCGTGAAGCCTCAACTTGCTGGGGTTTTGGCAGCCCCAAGTACCTATGCTCTACTAGGCTCAGCACACCGCTCAATGGAGCCCACCAAACTGGCCCAACCTCTGTTGCGTCTGAATTTCTGGAAGAAACACAATGAGGATAAGGTCACCCACAGTTTCTCACAGCTATTGAGCCACTTTGATTTCCCAGATTTTCTGGGCTATCCAATATACCCACAAGCAGTTCTGGAAGTTTCCCTTACCACCAAAGCCAGGGTTCATAAAAAGTAACGGTTATCATCCAAGAGCGCACGCTCTGGAGCGCTTTAATCATCTCACCCACGCCTCACAACATCCTTAGGTATGATGGCCCTCATTTTAGAGAAAAGGAAATGGGCCTGGATTCAATGACTTTCCAAAGGATACACAGCCTGGATTCCGAACCAGGTCTGTCTGACCTTGAGGCCCACGCTCTTTCCACTGGGGATACCGCCTCTCAGGAATCCTCCAGGATTCCATTTTATATGGTGCTCGGATCAATTTTATTTTTACAGCCAGTCTAATTTAGCAGTGGGGGGCTGTATACTAACTTTAGTGATATTAATGTTACTAAGTCTGGTAACCCACTACAATCGGACCAGCCTCGGATCGATTTTAGATGAGGTAGGATGGTATAATTCTGTGACATCTGAAGAATTCCTAGCCCCACAGTTGCGGGTGGAAAGAGAAGGAATGGGAAAGTGTGCATTATGGCTGGGTCGGGTCCTTCTAGTTCTTTTTAGACACTTGAGTAATTTAATCATAAATGACCGGGCATTGGGAACAGGACACTCACTAATAAAAGCATGGCCTGGAGTTATGTTTGAAAAAAAATTTCAAGTTCCTCAGTGGGTGGATCTATCTGCAAAACAAAAGAAAGGCCCCTTTCCCAGCCCAGGCAGAGAAGTCTCCTGTACAGTTAGAGACAACAGGCTTCCGGGCACGTAGCCAAGGTTCTGGGGATATTTATAACTTGAAGAGGGTGGGAGTCCCTAATAAGCTGCTATATTCTTTTTCCATCACTTCCCTCTCCAAGGCTACAGCGAGCTCGGAGCTCTTCCCCACGCAGAATGCCTGCTTTCCTTAGTGCTGGACTTCCATTGTCTAATTTCCTCATACTGGCTGGGGAAAGGGAAAGCTGCGAGTCCTCCCGTTCCGAGGAACTCCAGCTGAATGCAGTTTAGTTGCTGGTGGTTTCTTGGCCAACCTCTGTGGTCTCAGGGATCTGCCTATGAGCCTGTGGTTTCTTTGAGCTGCCTGCGAGTCTGAGGCCTCGGGAATCTGAGTCTTTAGGATCAGCCTACGACATCTGGGTTTCGCCTGCAAGTCTACAGATTCGAGATCTGCCTGCGGGTCTGAGACCTCCGGGACCTGCCAGTGCTAAAATCTTTCTGAACGCCAGGTCTGAGAGAACGCTGCGGCTCTGGGATCCGTTCGCGGTCTCAGGTTTTGGAGACGACGATCTAGTGGATCTTTTGCGCGACAGGAGGTAAGTCTGTTCGTCCCCCACTCGGGTTTTCGGCTTCCTACCTTCAACCGAACGGGGACTACTAACATCCTGAAGGCCCGCCCGGATCAGGGCCTCAGACGCCCAGGGTCCCTTCGGTGCGGGAGGCCGCCGGGAGCCCCTGTAGCAGACTACCCCTCGGGGACGATAAGCAGGACCCGCCCCCGCCCAGGGGCCTGGCTATCTCCTCCTTACACGCCCTACACCGCCACCCGCTTCTGAGTTCCCCCAGGGTTTTCGCCTCCCCGCTGATGGACGCCACTCAGTCCGCCGCTCGAGGGGCGCCCTCTTGAGAAGGACGCAGTCGCACGCCCCTACAGGGTTAAAGCGCCGAAGCCGAGATACCGCCAGGGTATGCTGCCGACCGCACTCCCGAGTCGCCCGGGCGGCGCGGGGCCTCTCGGGAGTTGTATTCCGCACGGAGCCGCGCGGCCGCAGGCGCTGCTGGGAGATGTAGTGCGTGGGCGGGGCTCAAAGTTCCAGCTCGGCCTCCGAGTCTCCCCTGGGGAGTGGGCGGCTGCCGCTTCCCTCTCCAGCCTGTGCTGTCAAGCAGGGGCTAATTCTAGCTCTGCTCAACACAGACCGGCGTCTAAATTAGGCCTGACTTCGCAGAAAATAAGGCCCGACTCAAGAGAAGCTTCTAGGGACGTGAGGCGAAGCAGGGCAGCTTCCCTGGCTGAATCGTGCTGCAGTCTCCATGAGAAGAAAGCGAGAATACTCCGCCCTCACTGGGAGGACGTGCTTACTTCTTCACCCTTTTGTTCTTTTCCCTCCTCGGCTTTTGGCCTCTGGCTGGCTTTTGTACGCGGGAGTGGAACTCCAACTCCCGGCAGGCCATGGGGGCAGGCACAGGCGCACTAGAGGCTCTTGGCCACGCTGTGGGAGGCGGGCCTAGTGTTCCGCCTCTGATTGGTAGAGTGTTTCACGAACTTCGCTCGCTGATTGGCTGAGGCAGCTGCCGGAAAGGACCGGGCCTCGAGACGGCAGAGCGGAGGCGTTCCCTGGGCTGGGCTGAGCGCCTCCTCCTGGAAACAGCATCGGTCTAACCCCCGGCGCGGGAGGGACCCAGCCAGGGGGCTGTCCTAGTAGATTCCGGCATTGCCTCCACCCCGCTGTGGCGGAGACACAGAGGGCGGGTCGCGCTCGAGGGTCAGGGAGGAGAGTGACCCGGCCCTGGTCCAGGGCCCTCCCTGCACGCCTTGGGGCCAGAACTCCAGCCCTGGGGAGTGGGCAGGGCCTGTTTTCCGTGCCTCACACCCTGCTTTTCGCCTCCTTCAGCGCTGTCTGCTAGCTGCTTTTCCTGCTCTCTCTCCCTGGAGGCGAACCCTTGTGCTGGAGATGGCAGCCACCCTGCTCATGGCTGGGTCCCAGGTAAGCCGGGGGTGGCTTCTCGGACCTTATCTCTTCTTACCCACCTCGTCCGGCGTTTCTCCGCTCTGCAAGTCCCTGTGGGAAATTCCCTGGGATTAGTAATTCGCTGGCTTCGATATTCTGCCTCCAGGGGCCTAGTACCAAGCCAGTATTGTCACAAACAAGCATATATCGAACACCTGCTGTATGCCTTTAAATACTGGGGAGATAAAAGATGGACGAGATGGGCGCTACCTTTTGGCTCACAGTTCACAATCTATAGGGAGAAAGGCGGATCCACTTACGCGTGGCACAACGTAATAAGTGCTCTATTTGCTGTAGGAAAAAAGTGCTGTAGTGTGGGAATCACTCCCAAGAAGTGGGAGTGATTAAGTCTATCTGGGGCATCCGAGGGGAGTGGAGTAGTGCAGAGGGGTAGGGGGCATTGAAGAGCAGTTGGTACTGGAGCGGGACCTTAAAAAGCAGTAGAATTTCACTAGTGTGAGAAGGATATTCCAGGGAAAGAGGGACATTATGAGTAAAGGTATGGAGCAATGCAAGTGCCAGATAGGTCCTGAGAAAAGCACAGCCAGAGGATAAAGTTCCTGAGTGGGGCAGGGATAGCTGGCCATGGGACCAGAACAATCAGCTCATAAATTGCTGCCTTTACCACGTCTCTTTTTTGCTTGAATATTTCTTCTTTGGACTCTATAGATCACATTTAATATCTTTTTCCTCCTGAATATTTCTAACTATGTTTGTAATTTCAAGAAGTCCTAAATACAGAATAGTAGGGAAGCGTTGTGTGATTTCAGGCACCTGTGACGTTTGAAGATATGGCCATGTATCTCACCCGGGAAGAATGGAGACCTCTGGACCCTGCACAAAGGGACCTTTACAGGGATGTTATGCAGGAGAATTACGGAAATGTTGTCTCACTAGGTAAGTAAGGAGTCTACCTTTCTTTGCCTCCACGTTTTTGAGATCATGTCAAAATGACTTGGTTATTTCAACGCAGCCTAGTGGTTTGATGTTTTAAAGCACTTAATTGCATATTGGCTTGACTTGAGTCCTCAGGCGGATCTTTGAATGTGGGAACATCCAGGTCATATTGTCTAAAAAGAAAAAAAACTGCTTCTGCACATTTTAGAAACGTTCAGATTTCTTGTGCCCTGAGTCATTTTCCAATCTCCAGCCTGTTTGTACAGATCACTGACCAAACAGGTCTGGCATAATAGTGCTTGCCAGAATATAAATGCCCCTATAAGTAGTGCTTTTACTCTAGGGTGCTAAAAAATGAGGGGATTCTAACCCAGGTTCATGGGAGGGCGAAAGCCACCTTTTTGTGTTTGTTTTGGCTTCAGAGCACTAGCTTTGACTCAAGTTCCTTAGCTGAGTAGGTTGCCATCTAGAAATGTTTCAGTGTTGATGATGATAGATTTCTAGTGTGTCAAATGCTGTTCCAGAAGAATGCTGCAATAGATCACAAATTCTATTCGAGAGGGCAGCTGATTTTTTTTACATGATCTGCAAGCCTGTCTTCTCTCTTTGCTGTACTTTGGTCTGGGTGTAACTAGAATAAACAGTATATTCTTGAGCTGAACGGTCTTTTGACTCACTCTGCCTCCTGTCAAGACTTGACAGACATTAGCAAGCGTGTGTGGGTCACTAGGTCATCTGCCACTCATTAGGACTAATCCTTTTTTTGAAATCTTTATTCCCATAGCCTTTCTCAGAACAAAAGGCAACTCTGAGGGCTTTCCTTTTTAACTTGAGCTTTCTCTGATATCCCTAGTTTCTTGAATCCTTTCTTTATAAAAGTAACTATAAATAGTTATCTACCCAGATCTATTGCAGTCTGTAACCCAAATATTCCACTTAATCCAACAAAAGCAAAAAATGACAATCATTTAAAAATGTGAATTTACATTTCTATAGTTTAGCCCCAAAAGCACTTGTTAGAAGCATGGAAGCACCAAAAAACTGGTTTTTTGCCCAAATAAGTTTGGGAATGGGAATGGGTTTAAAAATGATTACAAGACGACCTTTTTCTTTTCTTTTCTTTTCTTTTTTGAGATAGGATCTTGCTCTGTTGCCCAGGCTGGAGTGCAGTGGCATGATCACAACTCATTGCAGCCTTGACCTCCCAGGCCCAGGTCATCCTCCCATCTCAACTTCCTGAGTAGCTGGGATCACAGATGTGTACCACCTTGCCCAGCTAATTCTTTTTATTTTTTTAAAATTTTTCAATTAAAAAAGATTTTTTTCTGAGACAGAGTCTCACTCTGTTGCCCTGACTGGAGTGCGGAGTTCAAGCGATTCTCCTGCCTCAGCCTCCCAAGTAGCTGGGATTACAGGCACATGCCACCATGCTCAGCTAATTTTTGTATTTTTAATAGAGACAGGGTTTCACTATGTTGGTCAGGCTGGTCTTGAACTCCTGACCTCAAGTGATCCACCCACCTCGGCCTCCGAAAGTGCTAGGATTACAGGCATGAGCCACCACAACCAGCCTCTTTTTATTTTTAATAGAAGAGAGACCTCCCTGTGTTGCACAGGCTGGTCTCAAACTCCTAGGCTTAAGTGATCCTCCTGCATCAGCCTCCCAAAGTGCTGGGATTAGAGGCCTAAGCTACTGCATCTGGCCTTATAAGGCCTTTTTACCTTAGGATTCCTTAGAGCCTTTAGTGTGTTATTAGGCATTGTGAATTTTGAAGGAAACGATATTGTATGTACCATTTACCAACCTAGTTTATTCATGAACCCTTTTCTCCTGAAATGCATACTTTCTTTCTGAAGAGTGTACTAAGAAACCCAATTTGGAGAATGCAGTGTCTGGTATAAAACTTCTTGTAGACAGTGGTTGTGTATTTTGATTTTCATTTGAAGACTGCATGTGAAATAGACAATGCCAAGGACGTTCTCAGCCAGACATCTTTTTTGCCTTCTTCAACCTTCCCACTTCTATGTTCATTAAAAGGTCACTGAAAAGTAGGAAGTGACATTTGTCAGTCACTTTTCTGTCAACTATGACATAGGTAAAGATTCATTTTTCTCCATGTTAACATAGTTGGTTCTGGCTGGGCACGGTGGCTCATGCCTGTAATCCCAGCAGTTTGGGAGGCCGAGACGGGCGGATCACCTGAGGTCAGGAGTTCAAGACCAGCCTGGCCAATGTGGTGAAACCCCGTCTCTACTAAAAATACAAAAAAATAGCTGGGTGTGGTTGTGGGCACCTGTAATCCCATCTACTTGGGAAGCTGAAGCAGGAGAATCGCTTGAACCCAGGAGGCGGAGGTTGCAGTGAGTGATGATCGCGCTATTGCACTCCAGCCTGGGCAACAAGAGTGAAACTCTGTCTCAAAAAACAAAACAAAACAAACAAAACAACCGTAGTGAGTTCTTAGTAAATATTTCTTGATGCTACTAATGATGAAGGCTTGGCAAGTTAAAAAATACACACTCACAAAATATCTGGACTCTTGCCTTTTAGATATTCTAATTTAGAGTCTCATATTTTCTGCTTCGAGTTTTCTTTCAAAACACGAGGAATATATATAGTTTTCTTTTCTTTCTTTTTTTAAGAGATAGGGTATCGTTCTGTCACCCAGACTGGTGTGCAGTGGCACAATCACAGCTTATTGCAGCCTTGAACTCCTGGGCTCAGGTGATCCTCTTACCTCAGCCTCCTAAGTAGCTGGAACTACAGTTGCATGCCACCACACCCACCTAATTTTTTAAATTTTTTGTAGAGATAGGGTCTCCCTATATTGCCCAGCCTGGTCTTGAACTCCTGGCCTGAAGTGATCCTCCTGACTTGGCCTCCTAAAGTGTTAGGATTACACGCGTGAGCCACGGCACCTGGCCTGTGTAGTTTTCTTAAGGAATCATTAATTACAGCGATACAGAACATGAATTTTGACAGACCTGAGTTTGAATACTGGCTTTACCATTTACTATGGTGTCGAACAAGTCAATTCACTTGTCTGGGTCTTGGATTTCTCATTAATGAAGTAGAAATAATCACAATTC